ACACACACACACACACACAGGTTTGTTTTTGTGAAAAGTGGGGACATCCCATAGGCGTAATGGTTTTTATACTGTACAGATCGTATATTCTATTGCCCTACACCAACCCTACCCCTAAACCTACCCCTTACAGGAAACTTTGTGCTATTTCAGATTTTCAATACACTCCATTCTGTGTGATTTATAAGCGTTTTGAAAAGTGGGGACATGGGGTAATGTCCTGAAAAGTCACCTTCTCCTTGTAATACCTGTCATACCTTTGTCATTATACAAATTTATGTCCTCATTTGTAACAAAAACGCGTACACACACACACACACACTGTGAACACACAACTGGAGCAGTGGGCAGGCATTTTACATATTTATGTCCTCATTTGTCACAAAAACGCGCGCGCACACACACACACACACATATGCACACACTCTAAAAAAATGCTGGGTTGTTTCAAACCAATGTTGGGTCAAATATGGACTAACCCAACTGTTGGGTTAAAAAGTTAATCTAAAAATGTAACCAAAATTTAACCTAACAGTTGGGTTAGTCCATATTTGACCCAACATTGGGTTGAAACAACCCAGCATTTTTTAGAGTGCACTCATCTCACTCTTCTCTCCCTTCCATCCTGTCGATCCATCACCACCAGGAGGTGAAATGGCTTGAAATTTGGTCTGTGTACCAAAAAGACAACAGGCGAGAGACAAGAGGTTTTATTCACAGCCCCTTTATCATTGCACATTGCACATTTCATGTCTTTTCAGTGTTTAACACGCTGCACAAATAATAATTTCTATGTGTTGATCCCCAGGTCATAAATCCTCCTTCTGAGCAACACTTTGTTGAATTTGCTGAGCCGTTTTGTAATCAAGTGATCAAACAGTTTCTGTGCTGGTGTGATCACGCTGCTACTTAAACGCTCACCAAGGCTGCACTTATTTGATCAAAAATACAATATTCAAAAGAACTGTTTTCTGTTGGAACCTATTTTAAAATGTAATTTATTCCTGTGATGCAAAGCTGAATTTTCAGCATCATTAATATAATCTTTAGTGTCAGGTATCCTTCAGAAAGCATTCAAGAAACATTACTTATTATTAGTGTAGCAAACGTTTGTGTGTGTGTGTGTGTGTGTGTGTGTGTGTGCTGTGATACATTTATTTCAAGATTCGTTCACTAATGAATGAATGAATACATGCGTAAATAAATAAATACTGACCCCGACTTTTAAAGGTTTGTTTGTAGATGCCATTTGAGATTTTATTATAAAGTCAAATGGAAGTAAAACATTTTACGTGTGATTTAACTGTCCAAATGCTTTTTGTGGTCGCTGTATTTCTGTTTGTATCCTGCGCATGTGCTGAGGTGTGTGTTCAGAGCTGTTGTGTGCAGTGAACAGGATGATATTAGCGGTGCGTCACATGTCGTGAGGAGGGGCTTCTGCTGAACACAGTGTGATGTGCAGCACAGAGGACCACCAGAGCACAAACTCCTCCTGCTGTCAGCACACCGGCTGGAGCCTCTCATACTAATGCTTATGTGCTCAAGTGCGTCTTTGCATAGCCGATATATATATATATATATATATATATATATATTTTTTTTTTTTTTTTTTTTGACGGGTCTTCTTGTAACCAGCCCAAACATGCTCGAACTTCATCAGCTGTTTGTTCAAAGTGCATAAAGCGGACTATGAGGGATGGAACTGCATTGTCATGAAAGTTTGATATGGTGTAAATCCTCCCGTTCAAGTTCATTCGCGTTCAAATGAGGACACTCCACGAGCATCATTTCTGGATAATGGACATATTTAAGCAGGAACAACATCAAGGACTTTGTTTGTAACTCGAGCAGACACAGAGAAGAGATCCTGTTGGATGCGCTCAAGCTAACTCTGTTGTCCGGTTTTTCGTAAAGGGAAGATTTAATGCGAACATTAATGCGTCCGAGCGCACGCGTATGTGTGTGATGTGCGGGACGCAGTGAAGCCGAACAGGTGAGCAGAACACTCCCCTCATGGGAAACTATATATATATATATATAATATGTATATTGTGCTGTTGTAGGGTTTTGATGATACATGTTTACTAGTGGTTCTGATGACCCTCTAGTCCAAGTTAAATGGGTCAGATTTTGCCCTGATCTCTCAAGAAGCTCAGTTGATATGAGTAAAATAATAAGAATACTACAAAATTGGTACAGCACTAATCTATGCAAAAAAAGTCTGAGACCACTGGTGAAAATGCTTCTATTTTCATAATTGAATGCAGTTTTCTTTACAAATTATACAATTTGAGTGAGAAGATGAACATTCCGTAGTATTTGGTAACCAAATTTTGGTTTATCACTTTCATGTTGTTCCAAACTCTCTGACTTTCTTCTGTGGAGGAATTTTAGTAATGTGCGGTTCACACTTTTTTTCAGTGCATTTATAATTAATGTGGACTCTCAGTATTTCAAGGTTCAAAACAGACACTAAAACAAAATAAAATGATCTAGTTGCAAACCTTAGCAAATTTAGTTCATATACAACTTCTTAAAAAAATAGCTATTTGAACAGACTGAAATTTAAGTCACTATATAATGATAATATTCACCTCCAATGAGCTGTAACTTCTACGACTGGATCAGTGAGTCATCAGTGAGTCGAATGAATCAGTTGGATTTGTGAACTAATCATTCAGAACTTTCAGAAGTTTGTGAACGTGTCATTGAATTCATTGATTCACTATCATTCACAACTCAGATATTACGAAAACTATGAACACACTGAGAATATCAAAGGACAAGTATAATGAATTAAATTTATTTAGATTCTAAATGTTTAAATTTAAACATATATTTAAATTCCTTTGTCACATAAAACTACTGCATGACTTTAGAAGTCTCAGAATATAGTATGTTGTATGCATAAGTTTTTGCAAGCCTTTATGACATTTTTATGCAGATTTTATTTTATTGTTTTTTTTTTTTACTTGAACGTGCCAATATATATATATATATATATATATATATATATATATATATATATATATATA